TGGCGACCTCCTTACTCTCTCACTTGACAAAATCTCTGGCTCTGGTTTTCAACCCAAGAATGAATATCTGTTTGGTAAAATTGACATGCAGCTCAAACTTGTCCCAGGAAATTCTGCTGGCACTGTCACTGCTTACTATGTAAGTGATTCCCTTAATTTCTGAATCATTTTTGAGCTATATATACATGAATATCCCCTGAAATTCAACTCTTCTATTGCAGTTGTCATCACAAGGACCAACACATGATGAAATAGATTTTGAATTCTTGGGAAATTTAAGTGGTGATCCTTATACTCTCCATACTAATGTATTTAGTCAAGGCAAAGGAAACAGAGAACAACAATTTCATCTTTGGTTTGACCCTACTGCTGATTTCCACACGTATTCCATCACTTGGAATCCACAACGCATCATGTAAGTAGTTAAACATTCAAACTTTCTTCAAATCTAACACATTCTTTTGCGATAAATCTTGATTTGGGGTCTCTTATTTTTATGGTTGAAACAGATTTTATGTGGACGGAACGCCAATTAGAGAATACAAGAATAGTGAATCGATTGGAGTTTCATATCCAAAGAACCAACCCATGAGGATATATTCGAGTCTTTGGAATGCAGATGATTGGGCTACAAGAGGAGGACTTGTTAAGACTGATTGGAGCCAAGCACCCTTTAGTGCTTCTTACAGAAACTTCAGTGCTAATGCTTGTATTCCCACTTCTTCATCTTCTTGCAGTTCCATTTCTGCAACTTCAACAAGCAATTCATGGTTGAATGAAGAGTTAGATAACACAAGCCAAGAGAGGCTCAAATGGGTGCAGAAGAATTACATGGTTTATGATTACTGCACTGATTCAAAGCGATTTCCACAGGGATTTCCAGCAGATTGTGTTCAGAATATCTGAGCATTAATAATGAAAAAATAGTGTATTACTTTAAAAACTATTGTATTGATTCTTTTATTGTTTTGTACCCATCAGAAGAAGATGCAATAATTATTGAGGATTAGAAACATCTTAGTTTTGTACTAAGTTATATAAACAATGAAATAGATACTTTTTTTTCTTCTAATTTGACCTAGTGGGCTAGTTCTCTTCCAAAGCCTAAAAAATAAGATGGAAAACAAAAAGAAATCTAGATTTATTCTCTGTATCTTCTCTTTTGCTTTTACAAAAGTATATATCAGGTATGACAGCATCAAGTTCCCTTAACTTAGTCCTATCTACGATGTATCGTAAATCATCAAAATACGTCGAGTATCTCCCTTGTAACGTTTGTAAAAAAATTGATATATTTTTCTCCCTTTCCGCAATTAATAATCTTTATTTTTTACTTTCAAATCTCAAGAATGGATAACAAGTTTCAGTGGTCCTCCATACCTGTACTACCTTACCTTTGTGACCAACTTTCAGCTTAAGTGAAGTGCCTGTGTAAATTGATTTTTCCGCATATGACTTCCAATTTGCCTTTGATTCGATTGTAGTTTTTATGTGTTCTTGATAAATTCATCTCCATTTCACGATGTGTTAATTGTGCTATTTTTGGTTCTTTCACAAAACCATGAATTGTTTATTCCTTTGCCTCTCTTCAAAGCTATAACTAATATTTGTGGTTGATTTAGAGAACTAGTATTCAATTTTATATAAATTAGAAATTAGTAGTGAAATAGAGAGAGTCTGGAGAAAACACCCTCAATTTTATTTTTCAAATAAAGAAAATGCATAGTAAAATAAAGAGACTTTGAGATGGAGATACATTATGAAAGGTGAATTTTACATCATTTTAGATTTATATCTTAGTTGATGAGAAGGCGTGAGAAAAGTCTAAATATTTAGGATATGTTTGACCATTAATATATTTGGGAAGAACTTGAAAAAATGGTGCTTGGTTATACCAACTTGCCACTACTTGGTAAACATATTTTTCCCAAGTTTTCAAATACTATAAAAAAAAACTAGTATTTTATCGTTCAAATTACGCCATTAATAACTTATAACAGGATTGAAAAAAAAAATTGTATTTAATGGATTATAATTAATTCTTAGTCAGTGACAAGTTTAAATGTGCAATTAAGGTATTGCTCTTAATACCCATTTTACAAGTATCATGACTCTTTTTGTTCCTCTTTTATTGATTGTTCAACATGTATTAATTTTGCATGTTTATCTTTAGATTTATACAAAAATCAAACTAATAAAAAGTAAACCATCGCCTTCTCAGCTAACTTCTACACCTCAACTTTTTGAAGCTTCAAATTGGTAGGTTTTTCGTTTTCCCTTTGTTATTTTGATTGTTTGTTTTCTTTTTATGCAATTGTTTGTTCATTGTTCATTTTACTTTTATGAACCATCTCTTTTGTTTTGTTTGTTTTATTTTATTTTCTTTTTGTGCAATTTCGAAATTTTACTTCTCTGAATCTCCTTTTTCTTGGTTCTGCTCATGCACACTTTTTTGTTGCTTTTCTTATCAATTATGTTATAGGGCTATATTTTAACGAATATGTTCATTTTAAAATGATAATACAAAATTATAGTTTCTTTTTTGTTATGAGTATAGATTATATTTTTTGAAATAGTTAAATATTTCTCTCAAAATTTTATGGTCAAACAGATGGTGAAACTTCAACTAAAAATGATTTGCCAAGCATATTTGAAAATTTGGAGTCAAACACAAGCTCATAATTAATTATAGGGAAAATGCACAAGTATCTCCCTGAACTTATTTTATAAGTACTTTTCTCTCCTTTTAGATCTACGTGACACTATCTTGTGGGCCCATTGTGTGTTGACATTTTTTTTAAGCTAGTGCCACGTAGGCTGAAAAGGGATAAAAATTATTTATAAAATAAGTTCAGGGTGATAATAGGACTTTAGTATAAGGTAAGTGTGTTAAAGTCTCGTTGTTTTGAAGTATGACAAAGTTAAGAAGCTCTAGCAGTAACTTGGCAAAAAAGGGAAGATGTGCGTCTTATTTGTTGTGTTCGTAATGCATTGTTTGTCATCATCTAAAAGGGGGAATTTGTTAAAATGAGAAAGATTTTGATAATTGACAAATACAGGATCAGATAAAAGAAACGGATTGTTTGACGTGTCTCTTACAGACTGAATCCGACTTGGATAAGGAGAAAGTCAACCTCGCGAATTAGAAGATATAAAGCTGTGGAAGTATTGCTTTTTCGACAAGCAACCAGTACATACGTTTCCTTTTATAAAGGAGTTCGCAACCAAGTTGAAAAAGGAAATAGCGTTCAATAATGTTTTCTTATTTAATTAAGGAAACTTTATGGCAATGTATAAGGAAATTTTTGTCGAAGGTTTTTCTTATTTAATTAAGGAAATTTTGTGGAAGATTTTCTTTTTTAATTAAGGAAATTGATTGTAAGTTTTCCTTGCAACTTATTTAAGGAAAATTAAGTATAAGTTTTTCTTGAGACGATAGCATAAGTTTAAGAAGAACGAAGAAGCGGTTGCAACAAAGACAAACAATGATAAAGAATTCAAGTTGAACTTAACAAGGTTTTATAAAGGCAAAGACAATGTTGATTCAGACAAGGAGTTGAAGATGCGGCGAAGACAAATTCAAGTTGAACTAGGTTCTACACAAAAGAGCAGTCCTACATGAAGTAGGATTTCTAGTTGAAATAGGTTTTTGATTCAATTCCAAATCTATAAATAGACGATAGTTTCGCTTGAGAAAAATTGTGCACTTACATAGAGAAAAGATCAAAATACGATCAAGAGGTCTGAGAGAGTTTTGAGATTTATTAGGAATATTGCAATTTGTGAAAGAGAACTGTAAGATTGTAATTAAGAGTTATGATTACAATATGAGTTTTGTGAGTAGGAGTTGTTTGACAAGTTGTAGAACTTGAAGAACATTAGAAGATATAAAACCGGGGGTTCTATGTCTGTGGGTAGCTAGAAATTAGAGTTTATAATTTCTTAGCTAGGAATTAGAGTTTATAATTCTTTAGATTACATAGCTTTGTAATCTTTTGTTGAGACTTGAAGTTTAATAAAGTGGAGTTAAATTCTACAGAGGTGTAGGTCGTGGTTTTTACCCTTAAAAGTTGAGGTTTTCCGCGATAAAATATTATGTTATTATTTTATTTGTTTCACAAAACGTAACTGCTGTAATCTACAAATGAACATATGAAATAAACATGTTCCTTAGACAATTTTAGGGGTAAGAATTCCAACAAAGTGTGTCTCTAAAAAATTTCAAACATAGATAGGAGAGTACTTGTGTATTTTTCCTTAATTATATAATTATATTTGTGCAATCAAAAAAATATTTTTAAGTACACTATCAATAAATCATGCCAAATAAGCAAATCATTATAATTACTATACTATCTAATTACTAGGTTATACTCCTTATAGTTCGTATTAACTAAATTTTCGAGAGGATGCACCCCATTAAGAAATATAATTTAGGACATAAATTGAACTATCACTTTATATTTTTGACCTTTTAGTTATTTTTAAATTATCTTAAAAAATAAAAATAATTTAAAGCAAAATTACAAATATAAGCAATACTCTCTCTTAAACTTATCAGCTATGTAAATATAATTTGACGGTTGGAAATATCCACCCTCCCTCTACTTGTTCATTTTTTAAAATAAATTTAAAAAGTTTACTTATTATATTTTTAATTAAATATTTTTTAAAAAATAAACTTTATTGAAAATTTTAATTGTTTTGATCATTCACTAATAGTAAATTTATTATATCAATAATTAACACATTTAAAAGTAGCCAAATAATTAGGAGTGAGAGTATAATATATGGTCTGTCTGTCACTTAGCTTTGATGCCGTCACTTTAATCCTGTTTCCAGCTCAAAATCTTTATTTTTTCCCTTGTTTTCTGTTTTACTTAACCTTCCTCTTTGCTTCCTCAAGCCTAACCCCACACGCTCTGCTCTACCTACTTCTTTATTGCTGAGGTTGGGGTGGTATAAATCCCTATAAAACCCCATATAACTATTCAACTCAAATTCATCCAACAAACTTTGAAATCTTAACAGTTAAACATGGCTTCTTCTTCTTCTAAGTTAGTACTTGTAATGTGTTTTATGATTAGTGCTTTTGGCATTGCAATTGGGGCCAAGTTTGATCAAGAATTCGACATTACATGGGGTGATGGCAGAGCAAAAATACTTAACAATGGCGACCTCCTTACTCTCTCACTTGACAAAATCTCAGGCTCTGGTTTTCAATCCAAGAATGAATATCTGTTTGGTAAAATTGACATGCAGCTCAAACTTGTCCCAAGAAATTCTGCTGGCACTGTCACTGCTTACTATGTAAGTAATTCCCTTAATTTCTGAATGATTTTTGAGCTATATATATATACATGAATATCCCCTGAAATTGAACTCTTTTATTGCAGTTGTCGTCACAAGGACCAACACATGATGAGATAGATTTTGAATTCTTGGGAAATTTAAGTGGTGATCCTTATACTCTCCATACTAATGTATTTAGTCAAGGCAAAGGAAACAGAGAACAACAATTTCATCTTTGGTTTGACCCTACTGCTGATTTCCACACTTATGCCATCACTTGGAATCCACAACGCATCATGTAAGTAGTTAAACATTCAAACTTTCTTCAAATCTAACACATTCTTTTGCGATAAATCTTGATTTGGGGTCTCTTATTTTTATGGTTGAAACAGATTTTATGTGGACGGAACGCCAATTAGAGAATACAAGAATAGTGAATCGATTGGAGTTTCATATCCAAAGAACCAACCCATGAGGATATATTCGAGTCTTTGGAATGCTGATGATTGGGCTACAAGAGGAGGCCTTGTTAAGACTGATTGGAGCCAAGCACCCTTTAGTGCTTCTTACAGAAACTTCAGTGCTAATGCTTGTATTCCCACTTCTTCATCTTCTTGCAGTTCCATTTCTGCAACTTCAACAAGCAATTCATGGTTGAATGAAGAGTTAGATAACACAAGCCAAGAGAGGCTCAAATGGGTGCAGAAGAATTACATGGTTTATGATTACTGCACTGATTCAAAGCGATTTCCACAGGGATTTCCAGCAGATTGTGTTCAGAATATCTGAGCATTAATAATGAAAAAATAGTGTATTACTTTAAAAACTATTGTATTGATTCTTTTATTGTTTTGTACCCATCAGAAGAAGATGCAATAATTATTGAGGATTAGAAACATCTTAGTTTTGTACTAAGTTATATAAACAATGAAATAGATACTTTTTTTTCTTCTAATTTGACCTAGTGGGCTAGTTCTCTTCCAAAGCCTAAAAAATAAGATGGAAAACAAAAAGAAATCTAGATTTATTCTCTGTATCTTCTCTTTTGCTTTTACAAAAGTATATATCAGGTATGACAGCATGAAGTTCCCTTAACTTAGTCCTATCTCCGATGTATCATAAATCATCAAAATACGTCGAGTATCTCCCTTGTAACGATTTGTAAAAACTCGATTCATTTTCTTCCTTCCCACAATTAATCGTCTTTATTTTTTACTTTCAAATCTCAAGAATGGATAACAAGTTTCAGTGGTCCTCCATACCTGTACTACCTTACCTTTGTGACCAACTTTCAGCTTAAGTGAAGTGCCTGTGTAAATTGATTTTTCCGCATATGACTTCCAATTTGCCTTTGATTCGATTGTAGTTTTTATGTGTTCTTGATAAATTCATCTCCATTTCACGATGTGTTAATTGTGCTATTTTTGGTTCTTTCACAAAACCATGAATTGTTTATTCCCTTGCCTCTCTTCAAAGTTATAACTAATGTTTGTGGTAGATTTGGAGAACTAGTATTTAATTCTATATAATTAGAGATTAGTGGTAAAATAGAGAGAGTCGGGAGAAAACACTCTCAGTTTTATTTTCCAAATAAAAAAAATGTGTAGTAAATAAAGAGGCTTTAAGATGGAGATACATAATGAAAGGTGAATTTGCATCATTTCACATTTCTATCTTAATTGATGAGAAGGCGTGAGAAAAGTCTAAATATTTAGGATCTGTTTGACCATTAATATATTCGGGAAGAACTTGAAAAAATGGGGCTTGGTTATACCAACTTGCCATTACGTGGTAAACATATTTTTTCAAATATTGCAAGTTTTCAAATACTATAAAAAAAAACTAGTATTTTACCTTTCAAATTACGCCATTAATAATTTATAACAAGATTAAAAATAAATAAATTGTATTTAATGGGTTATAATTAAGGAAAAATTGCTTAACTACACAATCTTTATTTTCATATTTTCTAAAATTCTCTATCATTTCAAAATATTACAAAAATCGTTATTTTCCTTTCCTTCTCACCTTTTCTAGATACATAATTTACAACTCTCTAACACAAAGATTTTTGTTCCTATTTTCACGGAAATCACTCCCATAGATTAGCAATTATCTTCATCACTCCAATTTTTGAATTTCAAATTTATCCTCTCTCTAGTTTATTAATTTCTTGTCCCTAAAGCGATAGAACTATTTCTTCATCAAAAAAATCTCTAGTTCTTGAATTATCGTTTAAATATTATTTTTATAGATTTTTCATCTACAATTTTCTGATATCGTTGTTGTGTATAATTATCCTACTCAATATAAATGTATTTGAGACATAAACATTACCTAGTATATCATTTATATGTGTCGAGTTCTACAATGTATCTTCAATCCTATTCAAGTTTTAACGGCTATATAGACAGTACCAAATCAGTTGTATGTTATGTATCTACAATTTTTCGTGTTTGTTCAGTCTTATCCAATTTAGAAGGCTATGTATATGTATATTTATATATTGTTCCATAATAACCTTGATACATAAGTCACAATGTTCTATAATTAGAGCACTATGTATCAGTTTCAATAATAGGTATATGATACATAACATTGACAATGTTGACTGCTTTATTATGTATTAAATTATGATATTTATCTTTTTAACTCTTACATTATAATTTTTATGATTCATTATGCAACACATTCCACAACCTCCGGAGGAAGTAAAAGTTTCAGATTGACAACCAATACAAATACATATTAATGGCGAATGTGTATCAAATGTATTTGATATATATTAATGACCATGATACATTAATACAAATTACAATTAAATATCCTTTCTTTTGGCAACTAAAATGGTATTTGATACTTAATAACACTATTGTGTCAATCTAAAATCAACAACCGAATACATTACAATAACCAATGATGCAACTATTCACAAAAAATCGATTACACAATATCTCGAGATCAATAAAAAATCAACTACACAACATCTCCCGTGATGAAGATAAGGTTCAGAATGAGCTTTGAGTAAATAAACATTAACCCACTTAAAAACATCCATAGCATGACTAAGTTCTTCACTAGCACCAATTATCTACCATATTCCAAAATACTCCATGAAAACAATCCATTGACAAACTAGATCCACATTATTACTAACATCATAATGACTTTCAACCAAATCAATCTGCAAAAGTATCCCGCAAAAAAATCAAAACTCAAATTCATCACAAACCATTCACAACTAAAATATAGCTAATTAATTTTATAACATACCACACTAGATTTTTCATCATTAAGTCCAGAATTACCCTTTCATTGAACTCTCTGGTTATGAGGAAGATACCCAGATCTCTCAGCTCCGTAAAATAAAAAAATTTTACTCAAAACTTCACCATAATTTTGCCCAGCTGATGTTACTGGAAGAATATGAATAATAACAAAACTGAACGAATTTTCAATGAACACGGAGAAGAATTTTGAATCTAAAATTATTATGATAGTATCGTCAGACAATTGTATAGGGATAAAATAACACTCGTCTCTGTAATGAATCGAATCTTCATATTTTTCTCGACTCATCAATCTCCAAGCTACAATGTTTGATTAAACTCATCTCTCTTTCTTAGATTCTTGAATCTCTCAATAAAATAGAGATATTCATAATGTATCAACTCAATTTTTCAATAATTTTGAATCAAAATATAAAAGATTTTTAACAATTTGGGAGAAGAAATTTGAAATTTTTGAAGCTGTTTTGCTTTGGTAGAGACTGATTAGCAGTGAAAATAAATTAATTGAGTAATTTATGGATTGAATAGTTAATTTTATGTGTCTTTTCCATTTTAAGCGCAACAGAAAAGATTTTGTTCCCTTTTTTAGCTCAACAAACAGATTTTTCTTGTATCAGAATTAATGTATCCGGATGTTAAGTTATGTATCAGAAAAGTAGAAATTTTAAGAGATTATTGTAATTAGAATAAAATTAGGGATAAGATGTAATTTATTTCTAACACTATGTGATTTATGTAAGTTATACAATAATTAAGGGAAAATAACTTGTGTGTCTACTTTTTAAAAAATAATTACCATATTTGTCAGTATTATTTTTTTAACCATAAATGTCAATTTAATTGAATATTCAACTTCATATTTTTTCTCTCGCCTCAAAATTTTCCCACGCCTGCAATTGCAATTTTTTCTTCTCTCGCGACTGCAATTTTTTCTTCTCTCTCGCGACTGCAATTTTTTCTCTCTCTCTCGCAACTGCAATTTTTTTCCGGCGACTTCAATTTTCTCTCGCCATTGCAATTTAAAGGTTAGTGTTGAGTAAGATCTGTTAATTTAGGTTACTTGCACTGCATTCTGCGATTTTTGTTGGTCTACTTTGCACTTAACTGATCCTTTAATGTGAGCTTGTAATTGTGGTCTTGACAGTGCCCAGATCGTTACGCCTTTCTTCTTTTTGTGTGGATTTATGTTGAGATTTATGTTTACGCTACTTGTGTGCCTTTTTGTTTGATGATTTATGTTGAGATTTTGTTTGATTCAAGTTCCTGTGAGTGTCTGGTATTCAGTTCTCTTCTCTAATAAGTATGATCTCTTGTTAGCATCTGTATATTCATGTTTAATTCACTTTTTAGCATTTGTGTAATACAAATTCAATTCAGTTTTATTTTACTTGTTAGCATCTGTGTAATACAACTTTAATTCAGGTTTAATTCACTTTTTAGCATTTGTGTAATACTTCAATTCAGTTTTAGTTCACTTGTTAGCATCTGTGTAATACAATTTTAATTCAAGTTTAATTCAGGTTTAATTCACTTGTTAGCATATGTGTAATTCAACTTCAATTCAGTTTTAGTTCACTTGTTAGCATCTGTCTAATACAATTTTAATTCAAGTTTAATTCACTTGTTAGCATTTGTAATACAGCTTTAATTCATGTTTAATTCACTTGTTAGCATTTGTACAATACAACTTCAATTCAGTTTTGGTTCACTTGTTAGCATCCGTGTAATACAACTTTAATTCTGATTTAATTCACTTGTTAACATCTGTGTAATACAACTTTAATTCAAGTTTAATTCACTTGTTAGCATATGTGTAATTCAACTTCAATTCAGTTTTAATTCACTTGTTAGCATCTGTGTAATACAACTTTAATTCAGGTTTAATTCACTTCTTTGCATATGTGTAATTCAACTTCAATTCAGTTTTAATTCACTTGTTAGCATCTGTGTAATACAACTTATTTTCATGTTTGATTCACTTGTTAGGATTTGTGTGATAAATTTTTAATTTAGATTTTATTAAGATTTAATTTAGTTGTTAGCAAAGTGATGCTCTTCTAGCAGATTAATCTATATGTCTCTCTCTAGTCTTTTAATAATAGTAATACACTCTTTAATGATGTGCAGAAAAAATATGACTAATATAGCGGTGATGCTTTACTTCAATGGACGATGGGATCCTAGCAACAAATATATTAACTACTTGGCAGATGGTGTGTTGATACACACAGAGTCAACGTTTGCCACCCTCGTTTCTGTAATTGCTACTCAATTGTCAATAGACACATCAACAAGTAAAGTTGAAATAAGATATAAAATTGATGAAAGGTCTCCTCCAATTCAAATTCATAATGATATGGGGGTAAAGGTATATCTTGAAACTAAAAAGGAACATCGAGATATGACAAGATACCCTTTATGTGTCACAACAACTGAACCAGTCAACTTGGAGACTAATGCTGCACTCATTCCACTTTTGTGTTCAGACACTTCAGGAGATATGAGGGTTATACACAATTCATACTTCTCTAATACATTTAATGGTATTGATGAAGCAATAGGGTTAATTGGATTCGGATCATGTGAGGAAGTTGATGAGCTAGAAGAATTAGCACCAGGCATCATTATTAATCCCAATCACTCTTTATTTGAAAAAGATCAGGTGTATAAGAATAAATATGTCCTCACTAGTGCACTAAAAAGACATTCCATTCTTAATCATTTTCAATTCAAGACAACAAGATCAAGCGCAATAAGGTAAGACCTAAATTCAAGTCACTTTAAATTATTAATTGTGTATTAATATTTTTTCTACAGCTATTCGATACAGTGCCTAGGAGAAAGCTGCAGTTGGAGTTTACGAGCTTCAAGCTTGAACAAATCTGAAATGTTCAAGATTAGAGAATTTGAAAGCGAACACACTTGTTTGTTGCTACATAATTCATTATCGGAAAGGCTAGCAACTAAGAGTGTTGTTGGGAGTATTATTGTGGGTAAATATGCTGAACCAGATGCTAATTACACACCAAAAGACATACAACATGACATGTTAGCTGAATATGGTGTGCGACTCACATATATGCAAGCTTGGAGAGCTAAAGAAGCAGCTCTTGAATTAATCCGGGGTGATCCAATTCAATCATATGCAAAGTTGCCAAGCTACTTTCACATACTAGAGGCGACTTACCCTGGTTCTCATATAAGATTTCACAAATCAGAGGATGACCGTTTTTTATATGCGTTTGTAGCTTTGTTCACCTCGATAAAAGGATGGGAATATTGTAGACCAATTGTAGTTGTTGATGGAACTTTCTTAAAAGGAGCATACAAAGGGACACTGTTAACCGCTAATACCTTAGATGCAGCAGGTCAGACTTTCGAATATGATACTGTTTTTTATATTGAATTTTTGAACTATGTATTAAAATTGAATTATGATTGCAGTAAAAATGTATTAAACTTGTATTAAAAAAAGTGTACATGGTGCAGGGAGTATATTGCCACTTGCTTATGCTATTGTCGATTCAGAGAATGATTCATCTTGGGGGTGGTTTTTTGAGCAATTCAGAGATGCATTTGGTCAAAGACCAGAGATGTGTATCGTTTCCGATAGGCATGCAAGCATTATTAAGGCAGTTTCAACAGTTTATGATGAAGTACCTCATTTTGCATGTATGTGGCACTTACTGCAAAACATAATGAAAAATTTCAGAAGAAGTCAACAAAGGGTCACTGAGTTGTTCTACTCTATGGCAAAAACATACACCATGACAGAATTTAATCAATGTATGACAATGGTTGAGAAGATAGATAAGAGGATCAAAGATTACTTGTTGAACATTGGATACAACAAATGGTCGCGTGTGCATGCTGAAGTAAACAGAACTTGGATGATGACATCAAATATAGCAGAATCAGTCAATTCACGAACAAGACATGCCAAAGTTCTTACAGTCTTGCAACTCTTGGAATTCATGAGACAACTTGTACAGAAATGGAATAACAATAACAGATCAAAGGCGACATTTTCAGGTTTTCACCTTGGAAAAAAGTATGAAAATATATTGCGGCGCAATAAAACTGCATCAGAGAAATTAAAGGTATGCCTAATCTGTTTGCTAGTATTTTTTCTTCAGATTCATATCTAACATCTCTCTTGAATATATTTTTTTTCATAGGTTGTAGAGACAAATAAATATGTGTATACCGTACTTGATGGTATTACACAATTCACAGTATGTCTTCACCAACGTACATGCACATGTGGGAGATTTCAATTGGATGAGTTACCATGTCCACATGCTTTGGCCGTTTTAACAATAAAACACACTGGTTATGAGAAATATTGTTCGGCTTACTATACAAGAAAAAATTTATTGTTGACATATCAATTTCAAATGGATCCCCTGCCAAATGAAAGTACATGGAACACACCAACACATGTTCTTCAAGATATTGTACTTCCACCTCATGGAAAGAGACCTCCGGGAAGGCCAAAAAATAAAAGACATACTCAACTGAGAGAAGATGGATTCAAGAAGGCGAAAATTACATGCAGTAATTGTGGACAACATGATCACAACAGGAAGACTTGCAAAAATGTCAGGCCTTATGATCAAGAATAAAAAAATAATTTGTTTAGTTCCGCAATCTCGTGTTATTCAGTTTAATAGAATGCTTTCTTAGTTGTGCAATCTCATGTTATTCAGTTTACTGGAATGTTTCTATGTGTATAGTTACATTTTATATGATATATAGATGAAATGATATAGTTTACTGGAATAACTCAGTTGAGCTTGAGGCTTGGAAATGTCTTGCTGAGTATAATTGTCAGGTTGGGGAATTTGGGTGATGCTTGGTATGTTTTTGGTTTGTTAGTATTTTTGTAATATAGCTCTTTGTCACTTGTTAGTATTTGTGTAATACAACTTTAGCTTAGGTTTAATTCAGGTTTAATTCAATTGTTACCATTTGTGTAATATATATTTAATTCAAGTTTAATTCAGCTTTAATTCAATTGTTACCAATAGATTTAATTCAAGTTTAATTCAGGTTTAATTCACTTGTGGAAATTTTAAGATTAATGTCTTGTTCTAATTCTATAAAGAAAAATAGGATTTCAAAAAAATAAATAGTATCGATTCGTAACACAGAAGTTCATATATTTGCAACCAAAAAAAAATACATGATTTTTTTTATAGTTTTCACAACTTATTGAGGTTTCATGTTCACCTCGAAAATTACAATTTTTTACTACTCAAATTACATATTCAAATAAAACTATAACTTTAAATCAACCTAATTACAATTTTTTACTACCATTTCCTGCCAGTTTTACATAAGCATTCATAGTGTCATTCAAACAGAAGTATGAGGAGCATTGACTTTTTTAAACTCAATCATGCATACTTCCAGCAAGCTGGATAGACATGGGCAGCAGCTTGTTGCTCCCAAACAAACTAACATATGTAGCATTCCAACTGCAAAGACAAAATTCCTTAGAGGAAGTACAAACAGAAAGGATCAATAAGGACACAAAGAAGGAACAACTTCAAATAGAAGACTTACATATAAACAACACAGTTAGGTATATAATATCAAGACTTACAAAATAGACCAATACAATTTTTCATAGCCATAGTAACTACAAATTGTTTTACATTATATAGTTTTCATAGTCATACTAACTAATATAACTATATTCCTTTATCTAACTGGTCTTTCGTCTTCACTTTGAAGGTCACTCGCTTGCTTCCTTCTTGCATATTCCCATAATATAGCTCCAAATCTCTTTCGGACAATGTCTGCCTTTACTTGTTGATTTTGAATATGTTGGCCATTACTTACAAACTCCGCAAATGCAGCAACGAAAACTCCACAATCCCTACAAAATTCAATATAAAATTATTATCAAAAAATCAATTTAATAACTAAAAAAAACACATATTTAATAATACTTACAGTGAATCCTCATTTTGTCTGGGAACATCTTTAGTTATGAAATGAAACTCAATTTTCTCGAACTCATTTATCTCACTGTATTTTGGTGTTGACTTCAATTCAGGACGCTTATCATAGAACTTAACCACACTTAGATAATATGGTAAAACAACCGAAAGCATCTCAACAATATTTTTTACCTCTAAATTCACCCCACCCCTAGCCGGAAATGAATCATACACCTCCAATGACCTTTGCCCAATATCAAACACCACAAAAATTCAGTGACGATTCTCTTTAATGTTTAGTGGAATAAGAACAAAATCCACTTTATCCCACGAGGTACTTGCCAACAAACGACGTCCACTGATATACCGGGCAATATCATCAGAATCTAAAACTTTAAAATTTTTCTTATCCTCATGAGCATCACAAAGTTTAAAGAAAGAATTGGTAATCTTTGTCTTGAAAACACAATCAGTCGTCGTAAAACGAACATTACTGTTGGTATCATATTTTCCTTTCTTTCTTAGGTAATAGAAAATGACATCAATATGCTGCAAAAAAAAAAAAACTTATGAAACAGAATAGTGAAAGAACAGTGCAGAAATTTCAACTCAAAGTTAAGGTAAAACTCTGTTTTCGCCCCAAGTGTGGCTCATTCATCACATATTGGTGAAACACAACAGTGATAGAACTTATGAAGATGTTCAATTTCTACCCAGAAAAAACTTAGAGACAACAGTAACTTACTGAAGCTGACATATTTTATATAATATTCTAGCTCATGTATATGCATATATGTGGATTCTTAATGATACAATGAACCTCAAAAGAAAAGAATTGAAGCTAAAATAACAAGAACATGATTACAAGTTTCATTCTTTTCGCAATATCCTGAGCTTTTGTCCCTCTTGAAAGACAGAGACAAAGGGAACAAGAACAGAAAGAAAAATGACTTGCAAGCTATAGAATTACAATGTCACACAACTAAAGAGCTTCAATAGATGAAAAATACAATCTATCTACACAACTAAACAGAAAGAATTTTAGTTGAGACAAAGACAAACTCAAGATTAAGAAACAGAACGAATCAAAGAAATATTAACGTCCAACTAAAATTTATATAACAAACCTCATCACACCATTGTTGTCCAGAATGTGCCAATTTGAAAAACCAGAGTCTTTCATCTACTGTACAGACACCCAATTCAAATGCTGGATTGATAACATTAAGAGCATCTGTATAAGGTTTCTTTCCCCTATCAAAACAGAACAAAAATAAATAAATACTCAAAACCGAGACAGGAACAACTAAAAAAGAGGCAAATACGAAACTAAAAAAGAGGTACAGAGCGTTCCACAAGTTGAATTAAGCTTGTATATATTATGAATTAGGAAAATTATCCCAAAAACATCAAAATAAATTACCTCTTTTTTGTACCCATATAAAGCCACTTAGTGAATGAATCGATCAAATCAGATTCATCATCTCCTCCGCTTGCATATAAAAAAGGATGTTTTGTCTCAAAAACCTGACGTGTAACACATAAAGTTCCTCCAGATTCAAAATGTTGTGTGAAGGGAGATGTTATTAACTTTCCTGGATTTTTCTTTCTGCCACGTTTCTTCGGTGACACTTTCTTTTTGTTTTGATCAACTTGGGCTCTTTTTTTTAGATAAGATTCTTCAGTCCTATTGATCTGAGAAAGATCTTTATCAAGTAAAATAAAGTCATCTAAAGTATGCAAAGGTTTTTGACAATCCTCTGTTGCATCTGCATATAATAGATATATTGATTAATTTACAATCAACAGATGCAACACTTATTTATGTTGGTTTTTTTTACTACATTACCATCAGGTTTCGCCCCAACTGTATTCACATCAGCAGCCTCTTGGACTGTAAGCCAAATAAATATTTTAATAATGTTATCAAAATAAATCGAAAGAAGTTTAGTTGAAGTTAAGAAAATGAATACCATTTATATCAGCAACAACCTCTGATAGAACTTTTTCAATAACAATTCCTGCAACATCTTCATCTGTACATAACAAGAACATTTAAAAAAACAGAATTGAATTAAAATATATGAAATATGTAATATATTTGTATAAAATCCTTCATTACCTATTTTACTTGATACTCTTTCAAGATTTTCAACATCAGCAAATCTAACTGTAGCTTTAAGCACTTGAGATTCTTCATTTTGATTTGATCCCATAACATGAGCATCGTTCCCTCTCGATTCATTTACAGATGCATTAACACGGGGAGAAAATGCTGTATATGTAATTAACATATTATTAAAAAAAACATATCAAAGTTAACTGAAAAATGAAATATCGAATTCGTGTCATTTATTGATTAACTGGAAGAAAATACTAAACTATATATTAAAATTATATTATGAATATAACAGAAATTTACTGAAAATATAAACGAACCTCCATTAAAATCTAATCCACCTGAAAATGTCTCGTCAGCATGCTTCTTAGATGGTTCCTTAACTTCTCGAATAACAGAGCTGCTACCACCACTCTTAGCAAACAGCAAAGAAATATCCTCCAATAATTGTTTGTTTGAGTTCACCACAAATTCTTTGATTTGATTGAATCCTAAATCAATCTTCTCTTCAAGCGCTTTGTTATTTTCATTCACCTAATAGATATTAAATCATAACGAAAATATTAAAAAATAACAGTTTTAAAATAAAAAGCCTAAAGTTTAGTTTGTGTATACTTTTACAAGCTCTTTTCTCAATTCTATGACTTCATTGGTCAAAATGTCTAGACCATGATTTGATCCTTTAGGCTCCAATTTCAAAATTTCAGCATGGTAATCACGAGTTTCAGGAAGCCTGAATTTGGATACTTCATCTTCACTGGCCACTATGTTCTCAAACTGAAAAACCAAATACACAAAATAACATTAGATATAGTAACTTGAGTTCAAATAAACAATGTAATAAAATGTATTAACTTTGTACAAATACCTTGTTTTTTGTAGGCATGAAGAGACATTTCTCAATATATTTTAACCATGGACTTTCTGCAATTGTCTTCCAATTCAAGATTCTTGGAATAGAATCAGCAACACGAATAGCTATATCTTCATCAACCTTTGAACAACACTCAAATATCCAAATTTGAAGAGCAAGAGGCAAGCCACCAATTCTATAGTACTTATGTGTTGACTTAAGCTCATGCCTCACAGAATCAGACAACTTTTTGTAGACATCTAAACCCCACGGATATGAATTGAATTTTCCACTTTCCACAAGGTAAAAATCTCTATTGCTAATTTGGTATTCGTTGTCCTCATATGAAAATAAAAAATCATTAATGAAGTATAGAACAGCCAATGAAACAGCCGAGTCATCATCTATGAATTTTTTTAGCTAAAAACAGTGCACGTAGATGACTCTTTGGAACTGTGATTTTTTCCGGAAAATAACTACTCATCAAACTACATCTAGAATTGGGAACATTGATAGATGTGCCATCACCAACACAATTTAAGCCTGTAACTATCCCAAATTCTCTAAGACCAAAAAATAACTTTTTGTTATTTATTTCAATAGCAAACACATCATCCGGTGTGTGTTTTAACTCTCTATTTATAAGACAATGAATAAGTTGTAGTTGTGTGCTTGATTTTGGAAGGTCAAGAAAGTACCCAAAACATGTATTCCTAAACATCTCAAGTTATTAATCAGATAAAGATAGTTTGATTTGTTCAATGACACTATGATTAGTGTAACATGACCACCTACTCGAAATATACACAACATCAGGATGTTTCCAGAATTTACGATCCTGCATATGCATTAAACATGAATTAAAAATGTGTTATTACATACTAAAGATGAATAAAAAATGAATTAAAGTTGAATTAAAGTTGAATTAAAGTTCAACTAAAGTTGAATTAAATATGAATTAAAGTTGAATGAAAGTTGAATTAAAGATAATTTCACATACTACATCTAAAAAACAAGCAGCAATCAACATACAACCCATTGCTAAACAACAAATAACTAAGAAGTACTAGCACATACCGGATATCTACTCTCTGGTAGAATGACACTTTTGGGTAAACGATTTCGTGTTTTTCCATCATTCACCGGCCTTTTCTTCTCCAATCCATCTTTATTTTTCAAACTTTTTGACTGAAATTGAGGAGGTAAATCCTCAAAATCATCATCACTGTCAACGATTTTCTTTGATGTAGATGCCAAAGTAACACATATTTTTTTTGATTTCTTCATTGTTTTAACCTCTTTAACTCGTTTTTTACCTTTCTTTTGCTTCTTGTTTTCTTCCTCATTGTTCTTCTCCTCATTGTTCTTCTCCTCATTGTTCTTCTCTCCCGAAATTTGTGATATACCCAAACTAAAACTTGGAATTTCATCCATAGAATTAGAAGACGAAACTTGAAGCTTCTTTCGATTTCTTCGATAAACTTTTCGATTCGAAGCCGTCACTAGACGCGGACTTCTTCTAAGACCTTCTTCCATTAAGATTCGTGCAGAAAAATGGAGAAAAAAAGCAAACAGGAACCCTAATTTTTGACGAGGAGAAGGAGAAAGAAAAAAAAAGAGCGAGAAAGGATATGAACTTTGTTTAAAATTTGTATAAAAAAGGAATAAATGGGTTTTAAATTGTTTTAAGTTAATATAGCTAAAAGTTGACAAAAATAGTAATAAATAAAAAGTGTACTTAAAATTGGTAATTATAAAATAAAAGGTCTTTGTTTATGTAATTTTTCCAATAATTAATTCTTAATCAGTGATAAGTTTAAATGTGCAATTAAGGTATTGCTCGTAATACCTTTTTACAAGTATCATGACTCTTTTTCTTTTTCTTTTATTGATTGTTCAACACGTGGTGGAGGGTTTTGTATTAATTTTGCATGTTTATCTTTAGATTTATACAAAAATCAAACGAATAGAAAGTGAACCATCGCCTTCTCAGCTAACTTCTACACCTCAAATTTTTGAAACTTCAAAATTGGTAGGTTTTTCGTTTTCCCTTTGTTGTTTTGGTCGGTTTGTTTTCTTTTTATGTAATGTTGTTCATTGTTCATTGTACTTTTATGAATCATCTCTTTTGTTTGGTGTGTTTTATTTTATTTTCTTTTGGTGCAATTTCTAGATTTTATTCTCTGGATCTTCTCTTTCTTGGTTCTGCTCATGCACACTTGTTTGTTGTTTTTCTTATCAATTATGTTATAGGGCTATATTTTAATGAATATGTTCATTTTAAAACGATAATACAAAATTATAGTTTTTTTTTGTTATGAGTATAAATTATATTTTTTGAAATAGTTAAATATTTCTCTCAAAATTTATGGTCAAACACATGGTGAAACTTCACCTAAAAATGATTTGCAAAGCATATTTGAAAATTTGGAGTCAAGCACTAGCTCATAATTAATTATAGGGAAAATGCACAAGTATCCCCCTGAACTTATTTTATAAATAATTTTTTCTCCTTTTAGACCTACGTGACACTATCTTGTGGAACCACCGCGTGTTGACATTTTTTTTTAAAGCTAGTGCCACATAGGCTGAAAAGGGGTAAAAATTATTTATAAAATAAGTTTAGGGTGGTAATAGGACTTTAGTGTAGTGTAAGTGTGTTAAATTCTCGTTGTTTTGAAGTATGACAAAATTAAGAAGTTGTAGCAGTAACATGTCAAAAAACGGAAGATGTGTGTATTATTTGTTGTGTTCGTAATGTATGTACACATATGAAATGAGTACAGAACAAATGAGAAAGATTTTGATAATTGAAAAATACAAGAACAAATGAAAGAAACGGCTTGTTTGACGTGTTTCTTACAGACCGAATCCAACTTGGATAAGGAGAAAGTCAACCTCGCAAATTAGAAGATATAAAGTTGTGGAAGTATTGCTTTTTCGACAAGCAACAGTACAGAAAATTTCCTTTTATAAAGGAGTTCGCAACCAAGTTGAAAAAGAAAATAGCGTTCAATAATATTTTCTTATTTAATTAAGGAAACTTTTATGGGAATATATAAGGAAATTTTTTTGAAAGGTTTTTCTTATTTAATTAAGGAAATTTTGTGTAAGGTTTTCTTATTTAATTAAGGAAAATTGATTGTTAGTTTACAGCATAAGTTTAAGAAGAACAAAGAAGCGGTTGGGCAAAGAGAAACAATGATAAAGAATCCAAGTTGAACTTAACAAGGTTTTATAGAGGCAAAGACAATGTTGATTCAGACAAGGAGTTGAAGATGCGGCGAAGACAAGTTCAAGTTGAACTAGGTTCCACACAAAAGAGGAGTCCTACGTAAAGTAGGATTTCTAGTTGAAATAGGTTTTTGATTCAATTCCAAATCTATAAATAGGCGATAGTTTCGTTTGAGAAAAATTGCGCACTTACATAGAGAAAAGATCGTCACACGATCAAGAGATTTGAGAGAGTTTTGAGATTTATTGGGAATATTACAATTTGTGAGGAAAAACTGTAAGATTGTAATTAAGAGTTTTGATTACAATATGAGTTTTGTGAGTAGGAGTTGTTCGACAAGTTGTAGAACTTGAACAACATTAGAAGATATAAAACCGGGGGTTCTATGTCTTTGGGTAGCTAGAAAGTAGAGTTTATAATTTCTTAGCTAGGAATTAGAGTTTATAATTTCTTAGATTTCATAACTTTGTAATCTTTTGTTGAGACTTGAAGTTTAATAAAATGGAGCTAATTCTATGGAGGTGTAGATCGTGGTTATTACATTTAAAAGTTGGGGTTTTTCGCAATAAAATATTGTGTTATTATTTTATTTGCTTCACAAAATGTAACTGTTATAATATGCAAAGGAACATATAAGATAAACTTGTTCCTTAGGCAATTTTGAGGGTCAGAATTCCAACAAAATATGTCTCTGAAATTTGGGACATAGGTTAGGAAGATACTTATGCATTTTCCCTTAATTATATAATTATATTTGTGCAATCAAAAAATATATTTTTAAGTACACTATCATCAAATCATGCCAAATAAGCAAATCATTATAATTACTATACTATCTAATTACTAGGTTATACTCCCTATAGTTCGTATTAACTAAATTTTTGAGAGGATGTACCCTATTAAGAAATATATTTTAGGACATAAATTGAACTGTCACTTTATATTTTTGACCTTTTAGTTATTTTTAAATTATTTTAAAAAATAAAAATAATTTAAAGCAAAATTACAAATATACACAATTATCTCTCTTAAAATTATCAGCTATTTAAATATAATTTGACGGTTGGAAATATCCACCCTCCCTCTACTTGTTCATTTTTTAAAATAAATTTAAATTTTTTTACTTATTATATCTTCGACTATATATTTTTTTTTTTTAAAAATAAAATTTATTGAAAATTTTAATTGTTTTATTCATTCACTTATTGTAAATTAATTACATCAATAATTAACACAGTAGCCAAATAATTAGGAGTGAAAGTATAATATATGGTCTGTCTGTCACTTAGCTTTGATGCCGTCACTTTAATCCTGTTTCCAGCTCAAAATCTTTATTTTTTTCCTTGTTTTCTGTTTTACTCAACCTTCCTCTTTGCTTCCTCAAGCCTAACCCCACACGCTCTGCTCTACCTACTTCTTTATTGCTGAGGTTGGGGTGGTATAAACCCCTATAAAACCCCATATAACTATCCAATTCTAATTCATCCAACAAACTTTGAAATATTAACAGTTAAACATGGCTTCTTCTTCTAAATTAGTACTAGTAATGTGCTTTATGATTAGTGCTTTTGGCATTGCAATTGGGGCCAAGTTTGATCAAGAATTCGACATTACATGGGGTGATGGCAGAGCAAAAATACTTAACAATGGCGACCTCCTTACTCTCTCACTTGACAAAATCTCAGGCTCTGGTTTTCAATCCAAGAATGAATATCTGTTTGGTAAAATTGACATGCAGCTCAAACTTGTCCCAGGAAATTCTGCTGGCACTGTCACTGCTTACTATGTAAGTAATTCCCTTAATTTCTGAATGATTCTTGAGCTATATATATATACATGAATATCCCCTGAAATTGAACTCTTTTATTGCAGTTGTCATCACAAGGACCAACACATGATGAGATAGATTTTGAATTCTTGGGAAATTTAAGTGGTGATCCTTATACTCTCCATACTAATGTATTTAGTCAAGGCAAAGGAAACAGAGAACAACAATTTCATCTCTGGTTTGACCCTACTGCTGATTTCCACACGTATTCCATCACTTGGAATCCGCAACGCATCATGTAAGTAGTTAAACATTCAAACTTTCTTCAAATCTAACACATTCTTTTGGGATAAATCTTGATTTGGGGTTCTCTTATTTTTATGGTTGAAACAGATTTTATGTGGACGGAACGCCAATTAGAGAATACAAGAATAGTGAATCGATTGGAGTTTCATATCCAAAGAACCAACCCATGAGGATATATTCGAGTCTTTGGAATGCTGATGATTGGGCTACAAGAGGAGGCCTTGTTAAGACTGATTGGAGCCAAGCACCCTTTAGTGCTTCTTACAGAAACTTCAGCGCTAATGCTTGCATTCCCACTTCTTCATCTTCTTGCAGTTCCAATTCTGCAGCTTCAACTAGCAATTCATGGTTGAATGAAGAGTTAGATAACACAAGCCAAGAGAGGCTCAAATGGGTGCAGAAGAATTACATGGTTTATAATTACTGCACTGATTCAAAGCGATTTCCACAGGGATTTCCAGCAGACTGTGTTCAGAATAACTGAGCATTTATAATGAAAAAATAGTGTATTACTTTAAAAACTATTGTATTGATTCTTTTTATCTAAGATAAATAAATATGTTGGTTTTCTACCAAATTCGTCTAAGTAATGGATATATATATATATTTTATACTTGGTGTTTTAGATATGAAAAGCTATGCTCGCACAAGAGAAAGAAGTTGAATTTGCATCATACGCAATAGAAAGGTCGATATATTTATACAATTGTATTAGTTGAAGATTCTGCACTTTGTAGCACCAATCAGAATCATCTAATAGCTGGAGATGTGAAGTCATATTTTGGATATTACTATGTGATTTTGATTTATCATCATATTTCAAGACCTGTATGAAACGTTTTTTTTTTTTGACTATGCTTTCACAATAGTTAAGTTTAGAGAAACTTCTTGACAAAAGTTTAGT